TTTTGGTTTTCAAAATATTTCCAAAAAAGCTTCTAGAAATGTAAAAACAAAACAATTTTTTTAAATATAATGTTGGAGGAGAACAGATGAAACAAGTTATTGATTTTTTTTTTTGAAATAGTAAATCTTTAAAAAAGTTAAAAAAGATTTTTTATTTCGTGTTCATTGATGTAATATTGGGAAAAAAGAAGCAAAAAATTATCATTTCTTTTTTTAAAATAAAAAACGTAAATAGCAAGTTTTATTCAAAAAATCAAAAAAAAAGAGAGATTTGAAAATTGTTCTGCTTTCTTTTATTAAAATTTTTGATATAATATTAAAGCGACTAAAAATCGAATTAATTTAAAATTCAGAACCAAAATCATGCTATCAAATTTTTTCTTACCGAAGCAATTATTTCACTAACCTCACGTGCTATTTTATTGAGCAGTTTAGTAGTGGAAAGTAACCGTAAAAATATATCATTTTTAAATATATGAAACAATAATATTAAAATTATGATAGAGATTAGTTGTCATTATTAATAAGAAAAAAAATAAGAAATCAATTCATTTACTCAATATCCAATATTTATTTCTGATCTTTCTAACACGATGGATTCATTCTAACATTAAATTATAACTTCCAAGAAATCGTTCTGATTAATTTAATTTTGCATACGATACAATTTCCATATATCATTATCATCATATAAACTAAATCATACGAATAAAACAAATATGGCTAAAATTGTAAGCTAAAAAGTAACGGCATGATATCATAATGGTTCAAATGAAATTTTGTGATTTGAAAATATGGAAATAACTTATAATCGTTAAATACAATAATGTTAATCAGAAAAAAAAGATAGAAAAAAAAATTGTATCAAAATTGAAAAAATAATCAAAATATGAAGTTTAGCTCATCAAATTTTGAACGAGATAAAAAATCTTTTCGTTTGATTAACACTGATAAAAATGAATTAATAATAATTAATTAAAATACATTGAGCAAAATTTTATTTCAATCATCATTAAGTATTTTAAATAAATTTTTTCGTTCTCTTTTTTTCTCCGAAAAACTAACAAATACTTTGAATTAAAAGAAAAAAATTGTACTCTACTGATTGCATATGTTACATTTTTAAATCAATTGATCCGAGTCGTTTATAATTGTTACACATAGAAAAAAATTAAAATTTTTAAAATGTATATGAAGAAATTGTCAATAAAACGAAAAAGGAAGAAACGAAGAGAGAAATGTTCTTATTGTTAGCGTTTATGTTTTGTTTCGATAATTTTGAAAGAAATTTGTTAAAAAGAACGGGCTCAATCCTCTTTTTCTCTTTTTTTTTTTTGTCTTTTATTTCTTTTTTTTTTTGCTATACATATATTTACAAGCAATTTTTCCTCATTTTTCATTATTTTTGGCCTATTATATACCAATTTGAAAATTAAAACTACAAAAACTTTGAAATCGATTTAATAATTAAATAATGAGAAATTTGATAAATTTAGAAATACGCAATATCAGAAATGAAAATGATCGAATTCATAAATCCTGTATAATACTCAATTTAGCAAATAATTTTTCTAAAAATCGATAAACTGAAATGATAGATTAACAAATAAAATCATAATGCTAAAAATGTCCGATAAAATGAACCATAAAAACTTGCGGGAGAGTAATTAATTTGATAGTTAAAGATTAATGTATTCATTTAATTGTGGAATATAAACAAGAAGTTCGAATAAATAAAATGCTAATCAATCGGCTAAGCACATTTATTCATCGTTAGTAACAATCAAATGAGAAAATATAGTGAGAATAAAGTGAAAAATTTTTAAAAAATAAACAAATTGAGTGCGAGCAAACAAAAAAGGTAATTACTGCACTCAAAATATAATTTTTCTTTTTAGTTACGATGAAAAAGGAAAATATAAACGAAATTTATTTTTCACTTTTTCCCTCTTCTTATAGTGTCGTGAAATGAGAAATAATTATAAAAATAAAAATTTTACACCGTTAACATTTCATACTATTTGGTATTTTATTGAATAATAAAAATTTTATACGATTTTTTGCATTTTTTTCAATTCAATTGAAGGAATATTGGAGTAATTTGGAAGAAAAGAAGCATGGAAGAAAATTAATAAAACTTTTTATTTTTATCAAAATAGTGATGATGAGATTTAACTTCAATTAATTTGATAACACGAAGTTGTAATTTTTATAAACAACACACAATATTTAGTTATCGATAGCATTCAATGATTTCGTATTTTACATTAGCTGTTTTGATTACTAATTAATGATTGATCAATATTTATCAAATTAGAAATGTATGAATTAAAATATTTGAGCAATATTTCTTGGTTTTTCTACACTTTTTTCGTCCATATTTGCAATCAATTTTAACATATAAACTCAAATGTTTCAATTTTTTCGAACATTTCTAAAAATTATTTTCAGGAGCTAAAATATGAAAAACTCATCAAGAAAATAATTTAATATATTTAATCTAAATGAAATAATCGAATAAAATATCAAGAATAAAGATGATGGAAATTTATTACCCATATATATACCTTTATAAAATATATCAAAAAATAGCATGCGGAAAATGCTCGTTCTTCTAATTTCAATTTTAAATTAATCATCCATTTAGTCAAATTATTTTTATAAATTATCAATAAATAATATTTTAATTTCTGAAAATGGAAGGAAAAGAAGAAACAAAACATACAGCTTTAATCCTTTGACGTATTTCCTCATCGAGAACACGTGAAACACTACGTGCCGGAACATTTGTAACATATTGTTTTCTATCAGAATTGATATCATCAGCATCTGATAATGCTGAATTAGAAGGAACGTGTGGATCATCAATCGTAATAATGTACATTTCATCACAATTGAAATTTTCATCAAATGATGAAATGGATGGACTGTATGCTTCAAGGTCAATTTCCGCTTCCATTTTTAAGTGCCTCTGTAATATTATGATTTCCGCTTTTTGATTTCCATTAATAAGTTTCAGATTTTACTTCGAATATTTTTGCATAATTTGTTAGCAGTATAATCTGAAAAAAAAGTTTCATTTGATAATTCTAAGAAAAAAAAAAAATTTATAAGTTTTTTTCAATGGAATTTTTTAATGCATATATTTAAAAATTAATGCAATATTTTAAATTTATACGCTTTGAAATATTAATTAATTTTGACCAAATCAGATTACTATTACTTCATGCTAAATTATGTATTAATAAACTTTCATAATTTAAAAGAAAAAATGAAAAAATCTAAATTTTTTGATATTATTTTTAATAAGCATGGATGCACTGATATTCCATGGAAAAATGAAAAAATTCCAAATTTTTTTCTTCAAAACATGTTGAATTAATAAGTCAGTTTTGTTGAAATTGAAAGAAAAAAAGCAAAATTAGAAAAAGAAATAAATTATTTGCAATATGAATTATCGATAAGTTAAGAGATGATAGGCTCATTACATACATTTTCTGTTTTTTTCTCCTTTTTTATTATTTTTAAATGCTTTTCATCTTTTCTTACATCAAAGAAATATATTTTATTGAATAATAATGAAAAAAAAAACGGCTCAAACAATTATTTTGTTTAGGTTAATTGAGCTAATGAGTTCACGGCGCCAAAAAATATCTTTGTTTTCAGATAGCAAAAATCATTGGAGAGTAGAATTAAAAATTTAATTTTTAGTGGGCTTTTTAAACTGTTTAATTGGTTCAGTAAAAGCGGTGTTCAAAAATCAAATTTGAAAGCGTTTTAAATTTTAAAAAGCTTTTTTAACTATGTTTTTATGTATGGTTTGAAAACGGTTAATTTTTGCATTTAAAACTTGATAAAATAATTATTTATTTAAGTTTTCTCTGCATTTTTTCGTCAGAATTTTACTAAAATATATTACTATTATTATTGCTGCCAAAGCTTTTTCGTCACTCTTTTTATTGCTAAATTGTTTACTTAATTACTGCTTTTTTTAGGATCGGAAGAGGAAAAGATAATATTGTTAATTCTAATTGTTGATATAAAATTTGCATATCATCAACATGATATCTGATAACTGGTTATTATCATTATTATGATTATTTCCATTACAAAATATTACAAACAAAATAATTCAACTTTTCAAATAAATAAAAGTTTGCAAGAAAAAGACGAAGAAAAACGCACGAAATTTAATCGTACATTTGCGAAATTTTTTTATATAAAATCAACAAATAGTGCACGAAATGAAATAGAACAAATTCGGTAAAGCTGAAAATAGAATGGAAATTTATGAATTGAAAAATTACTTCGCTATTATATTATTTAGTTTTGTTTGTGCAAAAATTTTTCTTTTTGCTATGAAAACAATGTGGTCGATGATTAATACGTAAATTTCTAAAAGGGAATTATAAATCGATCATATGATTTACTAAAATATCTTTTCGGCATTTTCGTTTCTATAATACATTTTAATATAAATAATAAAATTTTCTCGTAACTTTAATTTAACAAATCGAACATTTTAGAAAAATATCATCTATTTTAATAAATTTAAAAAAAATTATAACATTACATTTAAAACGTCAATTGTAAGTTCAATACGAGTTGAGAAATAAGTGTTAAATATAATTTTCAAATGAAACACCATCTATTTAAATTGAATTTGAAAAATTTTTACAATCATATTTAATCGCTTACATTCTAATTACATTCAATCACATTCTGATCACAAACAATGGAATTTTTCGGTAATTTAAGAAATATTAAATTAAAACATTAATCTAAGAAGTGAATGTTAAATTAAAACTTTAAAATAATATTCCATCTAGTTTAAATAGATCTTTCAGACATTTTTATGATAACATTTTAACTTTTATGGGCATTGAAACTATTAAAATTAGGCAATAAATAAAATTGCTTTGTTCTTGCAAAAAAAAATAAATAAATATGAAAATGAAAGCATTAAATGCTAATGGATGAAGTTTGTAAAAAAACAATATGAGATTTTTTGAATTTCTATTTCATTCCAATTTCTGCATGTAAGATTAAATTAAGTTTTATTCGGACAGGCTTTTTTTTCATTCTCCCGACTTTGCTCCTGCTTGGCAAAAATTTATGCGGTATATATGACTGTGAGTTATTTTTACAGATTGATTCTTTTATATAATTGTTCTACTTGCTAATAAATTGTACAAAGTTTTAAAAGTTTAATTTCATAATGCAAAATGAAACAACTAACAGATAAAACTTTGAATTAAATCACACATCTTGCTAAGAGAGAACGAAATTAAAATTATGTATAAGCTCGAAAATAAAACGCTGGAATTAATGAAAATGACTTTTAAGCAGTCTTTTTTTTTTATTTTTAACTATTAGTTAGCTGAGAAAAAGTTTTTTAGAAATTGCAAATTTTTTAATTCTTTTCATTAATGCTGACTTTTTTTTTCTAAAGTATCAATCAATAGTCAAGATTATTTAAAATTTGATGAGGCAAAATGTTTGTGGAAAAGTAATTTGCATAAATAAAAAGATGAGAGAAAGGATTTGGGTATGTCTGGAAGTTAAATCTGATGCAAATTTAACTTTGCTCATTTATTTTGACATAGAGCGGATATAGGTGATAAGATTCCCATGAATGTTATTGATATTAAGTTGCAATAAGCTAAAATTTTAGCTTAGAATTATTTGAAATTTCAAATTTCAAAAAAAGCTAGCATAGATTTGCATATTAGCCTATTGTTTACGATGAAGAAATTTTAAAAGAACAAGGAATTATTTGGTGCAAGATCTTATGCATAATTATATCTTCAAGTTGATATCACAAATTTTCCACCTATAAAATCAACTGAGATAAAATTTCGTTCTTAAATATTACATTTTAATTTAGATATTAAAAAGTACTGAATTCTATACATTTGCAATTTATTAATTATTATAAACTAGTTTGCAGAAAAAATGGAAATGAAAAAAGAAATTTTATTT